CCCCCCCCCCCCTCAAACCCCCAGTGGAGACTATGTCCCGACAGAAGGACGAGTTCACCAAAGCCTTTGACGAGATCAAGAAAGCCACGGGCAAAAAGGACATCAATCAGATCATCCACGACTTTATCGAGGCGGAGGAGGACAACTTCGCCATCTTTCTCCACATAGGTAGGTGTGAGTGGTATCCCTCTCACGTGGAGGGTGGTTCGCGGGTGCTCTTGTGTGGTTTGCTCCTTCTTTCTAAACATAGGTAGGTGCGTGTGGAGAGGAGACCCTCTCACATGGTTGGTGGTTGGCGGGTGCTCTTGCGTGGTTTGCTCCTTCTTCTTAACATAGGTGCGTGTTGAGAACCTCTCACGTGGAGGGTGGTTGCCCGATCATCCGTGGTGCTCAAAAAGGCCATCTAAGACTATAGTGCGTCACAAATTCGTGGTGCAATTTATCCTCAAATATTGTTTTTAACGGATAAATCAATGTCATCCATACTTTGCATAGCAGTTTGTATCAATTTGTCTTAAGTAAATCATATTTTTTCCAGAACAATTGGGGCTAAATTAAAAAAAAAACTTTTCTTCATAAATTTATATGAATACTTGAAATATCTGTCACACGCAAAATGGTATTGCTCTGAAAGCATGCGTTCAATAAGCATAATATCTAGATTAGAAAAACCTGACGGACTTGCTATTTAAAGCAATATTGCCCCAGCTGTAAACATGAAGAAATCTGTAGAAACCACCCACTTGGATTAAAAAAAAATTAACATTAATTAAGGAATTTTCTAGAACGCAGCTTGCAGGTGTTTACAAAAATCTTGATCTGTTAAGACAAATTGATACAGGTCACTGTGCACAAATTGGAGAGTCTATGTTCGATAGTTGAAGGGAGATTTATTTGACAATAAGTCCCGCCACGAATTTTTGACCGCAGTATAAGGGAAGAGGTAAAGTAAAGTAACAGTAACGTGTGTGTGTGTGTGTGTGTGTGTGTGTGTGTGTGTGTGTGTGTGTGTGTG